GGCCCGGACCAAAAGTCTGAGGAATAATGTGTGACAAAAGAGGAGAAAACGATTATGGATCAATTAAACATTTTTACAACTTTGTTGAAATACTCCTGTTGCATGCAAAATATCCACCGAGGACAATTTAGGTAGGAGGCTGGGTGCTATAACACCCGGCGGTAAGTACAGCATTGACAAAAACCCTCTTTACTGTGTATTATCTGTTGTCAGAAATGACAACACTTTAGGAAGAAAAATGATGAAAAAAGGAGAAGACATGTGTGAAGAATCAATTATCTCGAAAAGAAAACAAACGTAAATTCAACTTCCATGGAATCCATGTAAAATTTTTAGCCACTAATATAAAGCATGCGTTCTCATAAATTAATATATAATGAAAGCAAGCCAGCGTATACGTTTATTATGAAGAATTATATTTCTTCACAGATTACACGGCGAAGCTTTTGGAAAAACACAGGGATTGGTACTTGACACAGGATGTCGTGGCATCCAACGAGGATATGCGTCGAAAAGCCCACAAAATGGACGAAGTTGAACAAATGACGGGATCCTTTAGGAAAATTGAGGTCGACTAAACAACTTCAACTCCGTGGGCCCTTCAACGATGACCACCACTTCAATCTCCCTTTCCCCCGCAACCTCCATCCATCAACCCTCCTCGACAAACTCGTCTACTAAAGTTGAGTACTTTTCATCAAAATTGGTGATAGGAGATGGTTGGTTTCCGTGATTTATAATTTAGAGTTCCTACGTTGAAATTTATAGTGGTAAAAAATGTTTTTTTCTTGTCCCAACGATTCGAACGATTTTTCTGCTCAACGATATTGTAATTAATTGGTGCTGAATAATTTCTCGAAGTACGGAATCTATTTAATAATTGTTCATGTAAATATTAGTGTAAATAAAGTATCCAGAATGGGAAATTTTTTCCAATTTGCGATTTAAAACTTTTTTGTGCATATGATTTCTGATAGTGTTGTAAATTTTTATAAATTTTTCAAAAATTACATTTATGTTCGAGTGATCTATGTTAGTCCCTTCTCTATCCCGGAGATATTTTTTGAGGTCCGTCAACTATTTAAGAGTATGACAATAGTGATTTTTTTTTTAAATTTCGACTTATTGAACGAATTATTTTATACGAACAGATTATATCTTTTTGCTTATAGGTAATATATATTATCTGCATGCAGGTATTATTTCTGCTCAAGAACAATCACTGAATGAACTTCAAGTTCAATATTTTTGTTCAGTGGAAGAAGTTTTCAAGAAAAGTAGAGCGATGAGTGTGAAATCACGCTGGCTATGCATTAATATTGATGACCATCACTAAAACTTTTTCATAAAATCTCGGTTTTGATTATACCAATGGACGCTGTAAAGAGACGTTGAATCAATAATATAAATGAGCAAGTTCTTCAATGTGTCACGGGGATATTTACTAAAATTACTCATAAAATAAGTTGCTGCCAATATAATGACAAACTTGACATATGAGTCATTTCTTTCGGCGAAAAAACCGCTTGAATTGATCCACTAATTGCAAAAATACCCCGAGGCCGCCCTTCAACTCTGGTCAATTCTTTCTTATTTTTTCTGATTACCGGACTGCATTAAGCAAAAAGGAGCCAAGTCACATCAGTCATTGCCAAGTTTCATAGAATCGTTTATTTTGTCACGGAAAAACGATATGGTAGATCATTTTGAAAATTTCAGGAGATTTGTTCTAGGTTATGAAGCAAATACTCTGACATTTTCGAATGCATATAATTTTCCGTTGTCGTTTACAAACATTATACTTTGATGAACTTTGGCAACGGGCGATTGGCTTCCTTGCTACTCATTGCAATCCATTTAGTCTTGGAAACATATTTGAGAGGTTGTAAAAATAATAAAATAATATTGTTTTCTTTATCTCTTGGATGCGATGTTAAAAAATTCATGCTACTGTTTCAGCAGAGAACACAAGTTTGTAATTTTGGAGGGATAAAATTCTTAAAGGTCGAGCTGACGGTGCCATGTTCATTATGCACATGAAACTCGAGAGAGTTATGAGCATGATGTCATATCGCAAGCTAAATTCTAATTCAAGCCTCTTGAAGGATATTACCTGAGTTCCGATGGTACATGAAGAACTTAATATTCTATTTAATTTACGTAATTACTTGCTGAACTAACCCTTGTTGTTGCATCTCGTAATCAAACCTACCTTTATTATTTCACTCTTATGTAAAAGAGTGGAACTGCATGCATGGAGGGTTTTAAGAAAATGTTAATTTTTACATTGAACTTTAAATTTAATTGTTTAAAATAGGGCCGGATTCACCTACTTGCCCCCGATGGGCCGCTTGCATTTTGTCGCCCCCTTCTCATTCGTTTTGAAACATCAATAAAAATCATCAAATGAACGTGCCAGCGGGGGAGGGGTGCATAAGACGCGTTTACTTGCGTTGAACACATTTTTTGGGAAAGCCTGTCAACACTACTAGCAAAAGTTCACGGAACTTTGCGCGAAAGTTAAGTCTCTTAAACCTATCTCTGTGTGGACAAGGCCTTCCATCCATAAGAAATGAACGAACAAATTATGAAAGAACAAACATAAATGTGGATGAATGATTTTAACTTCCGCCGCCGCGCCGCGTAGACAGCACTGTGTTTGACGCAATGCGTGAAGTATTCCGACAGTCTTGTAGGCGCTATGAGTTTCACGCCGACCGCTGCTGAACGCACTGTATATGACGCAATGCGTGAAGTATTCACTCAGTCTTGTAGGCGCTTTGCGTTTCACGCTGATTGCACTATGTTTGCCGCAATGCGTGAAGTATTTGTGCAGTCATGTAAGGGCTCATATGTGTTACATGCCGATCGCCGCGCCGAGCGCTTCTCCTTTTCATCTCAAGTCCTCGTCATCGTTTCTCTCTAAGTCGCGCCGTTCCAGGCCAAATTGCGTGTTTGGTTTCTCTCTTAACTCGACTAATTAAAGGTGTATCACAGAAAGACGACAAAAGTAGAAATTACTTTACTCTCAGAAAATTAGATATTTTGTCGCCTTTTCTCGTTTGTAATTTTTTTTTCTAACTTCGAATTTTCTATACCTACATTTAAAAAAATTTCAAAATTTGCCGCCCCCTATAGATTTGCCGCCACGGGCTGCGGCCCATTTGGCCACCCCCTTAATCCGGCCCTGGTTTAAAACCACTTACGTGCGCATAAAAGTGCACAGTAGAAGTTTCTAATGTTCACGTAAGTTTTTATAAGAATACATTTTTGTATTTTGAAAATTTACATCCCCTTTGAAGTATTTATTACCACTCAATAAAGTCCTCCTAAAATAAAAAGTCTTCAAGAGACAGTGACTGCCTCACTAGTATTAATAGATATTGATAATTTTAAATACATTTTTGGTGTTAAAGTCCAGTGTTGCTTTGCTTTTCAAGAATCACTACTGCTAATTCTCAAACGGCTAAGTTTATTTTCGTGCCAAATAGAGGGCATTGTAGAATTGTATTAATGATACATTTCGCAACTAAAGCATGGCAGTTTAAAACTTGCAACAACTTCTCAAAAGTGTTACTTTAAAATGAAAATTTGAAATAATCCTTAAACCGAATTGATTTTATTATTTTGAGCTATTTAGCCCCTATTTGTTCGGAGGTCACCCTTATATTCTCTGATATCCATAAATCAATTTTGAGTTTTTATTGATTAAGGTACACCGAAAAAAAAGTGAAGTTGATCCAACATTCTGGATGTAAGTAAAGTTTGCGAGAACTCACTAAATGCTAAATTACCCGCTACGGCAGTTAGTTTTACCTCTTGACATTGCTAAAGTAACTGCTGTAGCAGTTAAATCAGCATTGAGTAAGTTCTCGCACACTTTCTTTACATCCAGAATGTTCTNTGAAAAAAGTTGGGGTGTTTGGTATATTGCATGGGCATGAAAGAGAAAATTGGGCCGTTTTGATATCATTTCCTTTTATATGATGAATCCAAACGGTACTGCCATCATATTTTTTGGGTGCCTGGTTTTTTTTTTGTTTTTGGTAATTAGTGACATTTTTTGGATTGGGCCGAAATTTTGTACAAAAATCATATTTTTGTTTTTTTGGAAGGATTAAATTAACTTCAATTTTTTTTCAGTGTACGTTTACTAATTGACGCGGTTGCATACTTTGAGGGAATGTGCGTGGCTTGATAACGCATGACGCCCTTCACCAAATAATATTTGATCATTGAATAAAAGATATAGGGTTTCGTGAATGCGCTGAAGAATAAGATTCAGTTCTGACGAATCGCGTTCACTTTCTCTCTATCAACGCAGCTTGGTCCCATTGATTTCGTGAATTACACGCGTAAATCATAGGAGTGATTAAATTCAGTTTTACGTCATCACGGTTAATAGCGGTAAGTAAAAAATAACCAAGCCCCTAATAGCGCGCAGTTGCCATCTTGTTCTGAGAAAAAAACTCCCCATCAGGAATATCATAAACTTCTTGAACTGTGCTGAAAGTATGAGCGGTGATTTTACCAACATCGGAGAGCCCCAGGGGCAAATCGGCTACCATGACTCATGTTCAGCATTTTTTATGCCAATTCTCGATACAATATATATTGTGTAAGCCGTATTAATATAGCGCAAGTCGAGGGATTGATACGTAAATTGCGGAATTTCAAAATTTGCGACATATCTGGTTTAGGCTGAATAAAATGTATCATGTTCTTATGTTTTCCACAAAATGGGAAATTTCACTTTCGGGCACCGACCAATTGCAACACTTAATGTCAGCCAAATGGACTGCATTTTGTAATAAGGACTACAATTTTTAGCTCGTTTTATAAATAACGTCTATGCCATTTGATTCCCATGTAGGTATGTGATTATGTGATAAGCGAGCCAAAATTGGTAAAACCTAATTGCAAAATGTAGTCTACGGGTGAACATCCCGCCTAATTCTTTCATTTAAGTTCTCAGCTGAGAGCGAATATTTTTTGTGTAATGCGCATTAAGAGTCACTATGTATTCACTTGTCAGTGATTGAATGATCATCAATTTTGGTAGTAAATTTCATATTGAATTTTTGTTAATAATTACGAAAATGAAGTGATGAATTTTTTTTTTAAAATTGCATAAGGTGTCATTTTCACGTAAAAAGACAAAGAAGGTTCCTTCCCTAACATGGATATTTTAATATTTTTTTAAGACTTTTCTCTTTGAAATTCACGAGTTTGAAACATGTTTTTAACATCCAGTTATACTGTCGTGCTAAGGGAAAACGCCGGATGAACATTCAGGCGTTGCTAAATTTCCTCCGATAAAACACAAATCTATTAGGAAAGCTGTGAATATTTTCCAAACCATTTTTCAGGACACTTTGTTTTAAAACTAAATTAAATCTAAAGTATCTGAACATCGCAATGAAAAAATGCATGAATTTTTTCCAATACATTTTTATCAGGTGAAATTTGGCAACATTCGAATGTTCACACGGCGTTTTACTTTTAGCATAGCAGGATACTAGGGTGTCCATTCTTTTTTGAACTCACTTTGACGTAAACGAAAGATTCCAAAGCTTTGAAAATACCGCAAGATAGTGACTGGCAACGGTGGTCGTGATACACTATGCCAAGACTCCTCGACCCCTCTGTCAGATTTCTCTTCCTGCATCACGCATTGGTGCTCGTTCTTTGCTTCTGCACAGTGCACTTTCCTGTCTCATTCTTGCTCCTGCAATGCAGTTGCGTATGCGCACGACGCTAAGGAAGAATTCTGCTGTGCTGAGGAAGAACGCCGTATGAACATTCAAGAGTCGCCAAACTTCCCTCGATAAAAGATGTATTTTTGACAACATTCATGTATATTTTACTTTGAAATTTTCAGATATTTTAGAATAAATTGTTTACACGATTTTCTGAAAATTTTGGAAAATAATATT